AATTATGGAGTCCAACAACTGATTATAAGGCCCCACATGGCAGCCAAATATGCTTATTGGGTCCGATGGGGCAGCCCACACACCTCTACCGGACCGGAGTCACGAGTCGACCCATACCTGATACTTGACCCGGTTTCGACCCAATAGCCATTCTCATTGCATTCTCTCTTGGTTTCCTTTGAAATAGACTCATTTATCGCTTTATTTTCTTCCTTTTTTTTGCATAAACATGTAATACTAACACTGACGTTTGTTTTTTAAGAGGTGTTGAAGTCTGAAGTCTGATTTCACTTCTGATTTTTAAGAGGTGGTGCTAAAGTCTGAAATCTGAATCAGTCAGACTGTTTGTTTTTGTAAACTGACAAACGTCTGAAGTCTGAAATCTGAACCGATAGTTTGCTTTTGTAATCAACAAAACGTAAGGAGGGTGAAGTTGATCGATTGAGAGGGTGAAGTCGATCGAATGATAAAGTAGAAATCGGTTCTATGGATAGTCTTCAGAATTAAGAGAAAAATAAGTGGTTAGGTTATCACTTAATTTTTAAGAGGAAAATAAGTGATAAGTGGCTCTGAAAGAGGAAAAAAACAAACGGTCTGAATTGCCTTATGTCTGACCGAATCAGACATAAGTGGTAAAATAAGAGCTTTTTTTAAAAAACAAACACCAATCATACTTCATTTATGGTCAGAGGTTTCGTTTACCAAACATTTACCCGATAATCATTTAATAGTAAAATTTAACACTATCACTCATTTACCGGATAAGGTTTTTATCTACGAAAACAACATGGTATGCAACAATTTACCCGGTAAGCGCTAACTGTGGTAAGAGTTGTGTCCCTCACTTACACGGTAAGACTCTTGGTCATTGTTTCGCTCTTATCGAGAAAGATTCTTGGTTCTTTCCATATTTATCCGATAAAATAATGTGACTTGTTAAACACTTACCTGAGTAAGCTTTTGGTAACGGCCCCTTCATTTTTTTTTCCGAATGATGACACTATTTCATTTTAAAAATAAAACGATGGATATTTTTCAAAACAATTATTATTGGTTAGTTTCTTACTTTAGCTTACTTGAATTGTTCCGTACTTAAATAACGATAAATGATTGTTGAAGGGAAGTCTTACATCTAATTAAAGTAAGCTATCCATCGCCTTCATTCACCGCCATCACCTATCTCTCTCTACGGTTCTTCACTTTTCTCTAAATTTTGATATCAAATTGTTGAAGGAACTAAAGAAGCAACCTTAAATAAAGAATCTACTCTTCAAATCCTTCGTAGAGGTATAAATTTTTTCCACAGTTATTAAGATTTTTTATGTTTGGGTTCTTGAATTTGGTTTTATTTGGGTATGAAGTGGTTTTGCAAATTTATACTATTATACATGTTTAGAACACTTAGGTTAGCCAAAATTGAAGTTAGGAATTAAAATGGTAAAATATAGAATCAAGATGGTGAATTTATGGCTTGATATTAAACCGCACACCAAGTGTTCAATTAAATGTTTAAGAGAGCAAAATTACAAGATTACGCTTAGGATAATAACCATCGAACTCCCATTTTATTGTCTAGTATGCTAAAGTGTATTTAGATCATTTTAAATTAAGTAAACATAAAATATGGATGATAAAAGTGAGTTGGTAAAAATGTGGAAATCAGATATAAGGGCAAGTGCAGGTCCAGTGTGTTCAAAAACTCATAGAGGACAGACCGTAATTCGGAATAAACTCCAATTTTGCAGGCAGAAATCCCTATGTGTGTTCTACAACTTTTATGGGGTCTCAAATCCAGTTCTTGCTCTAAGGTGCTCAAAACATTAACTTTCCAAAACTGGTCTTGGTTTACTCGGGACTTGCATACAATTAGTATAAAATTCGTATAAAATCAATCGTGGCTCCAAACGAACTGAGTCAAGTGCCTATGGAAACGTAAGAGGTATATATACAGTTATATCACAATTAGGAAGTTTAATTCATCCTCTAAGTAGAATAAATATGCTCAAAAATAAAATGGACAAAGGCTATTAAGTGCAAGGATGGAACTGCAATAAAATAAGTGTTGAGTTTAACTAGGGTGTTCGCGGTCCGGTTTAGACGATTTAACCCCTCAGACCACGAAATTAAACCGTAATGGCGGTTTGTAAAATTTTCAAACCGAGCGGTTTGACATCAAGTGCCCAGACCGGTCAAACAAGACCACGAAAAGGCGGTCTGGTCTGACCGGTTTAGGCTGTTTGGGCCCTTAATGTGCTTTAAATGTTAAACTTAAAAAAACATATATAATTTAGAATTTTAGATTAAATATCCATTTTAACAAAACAAAATTTATGAACAAATAAATGTAATAATTAAGCAGCTCTTGAGTACAAAATTGAAGCAATCCAAAGTACAAACAAATAAATACATAACATATTAGAAAACAAACAAATTAACAAAGTTACAACTACACTGTGAGTATTGAGTAACAAAATCCACGACTTTACAACCTTCAATGGTTCAATTCTTGATTTTTGAGTTCTTGACCAAACAAAATAGAAGCCAAATCTAAGTTGATTGAATCACTTGGTTGATGTCTTGATGATGTGCGTCGAAATCAAACCATGGATTTAAAAGATCGATAGATTGATTGAGTTCTTAAGAGATTTCAAAATTTGGAGACCGTCAATATAAATGTGTCGATATGTTCAATGGTTAATGGTTTTAGGCGTCGATTTTGATTATGTTAGATGCTAGGCTTAGGGATATATTTGGGTCATAGCCAATAAGTTAAAAAATTTGAGCTTGCTAATACTAAAGTAGATAAATAAATAAATAAATACGTACATACATGTGAGCAAGTCAGACTAAATCGTGAATCTCGTTAGATCGTGTGCTATTTCTCAAGTTCAATTAAAGTATGGATTTACTTCTTATGACTCTTGTTAACCATTTGTTTTAGTCGACCCTTTCTAAAGGTGGTTCACTGCCTTGTGATTGATCACTTGAACGTGATCAACAAAATGTGAGCTTATATATATATATATATATATATATATATATATACACACACACACACACACATACATATAGGGTTGGATTCATGTGAGACCAAAGTGTTTTTGTGAGAACCATGAAACCATTTTTTGACACTTGAAACTTCACAACAAAACACTGTGAAGGTAAAAAAATTCGAACCTTCACAGCAAAAAGACTGTGAAGGTCAAATCTTGTATCTTTATTGTGAACACTTGAGTTTAGTCTATTGAATCCTATGTTTGAATCTTTTCAAGTTGTGTTAAATTGGTTCTCATATTTTGAACTGGTTTTTGAGTTTTGTGAAGTATATTGAAACTTGACCTCTAATGAAAGTCGTTCGAGTAATGGCATGTGCTTATTTTTCTTTGTTTTCATAATCACTCAATTAATGGGCACATTAGTTGGGAGGCCTTCCATGGCGGCTTTGTACTAATGGAGTCATCCAGGTAAACCCGACCCTGGGGACTAGGTTAACTCTATTGGCTCGAGGTCGGATGGATCGATCCTAGAATATTTACCCACAAAGCATTTGGCCGTGGTTAAATACTTATGGGACTCGGCTGTGTGTTCGCATGCCGTCCAATACTTCGCGTGGTTTGGCTACCCTACGAACACTCAAACAGGAATTGACAGTCTGACGGATTTTGTTTTGAAGATAAATTGTGAACTGTCTTGAGATTCTTGTATTTGAATGTTATTGTACATCACTTTTGAGTTAAATGGATTCCTAACCTAAATTTTCATAAATTTAGTTTAATTGAATTGTTAAGTATTTCGTTTTGTTATCAATGTTATCTATTGTTATTTTCAAATTCATATTATAATCCATTCACTGAGCCTTGTGCTCAACCTTGTTTCTTGATTTCTAACACAGCAAGTTCCAAGTGACACTGATAGGGACAGGACTTGAGATCGAGCATGCAACTTTTGGAGTTTTCAGACTCACCTTAAGATGTTAATGTTCTAAGTTTATAAACATTTTTTGAATGTAACATTTTGAGTTGTAAGTCATGCTTTGGAAGTTGGAATCTATGCTTGAAGTTTATTAGTCGCTCTGAATTAGTTGCGTCTTTATTTTAAGTCCCATTACTGACATCGCCATTTCGGACCACGTGGAGGGGGGGTATTACAAGCTGTCACACCAACCACAGAAAAGAAATGGAAAAAGATAGCACACATGGAATACATACAGTACAATAAACAAAGAAACACAATTAAGATCGACAGATCACAAAGACTCACGTAATTATTGATTCTAGAAAAGATATAGAAGAAGATAGCACAATGGAATGCATACAATACAATAAACAAAGAAACACCAATTAAGATCAACATATAACAAAAAATCATGTAATTGTTAATTGTACTGTTTTATTTTTCTTAATAGTTTAGCTTAAAGAACATCATGGAAAGAAACTACACACATCAAACCAAAATAAGTAAAGATAACTTGCTTGTTACAAAAAAATCACTTATATGTCATTTTCAATGACTATAATTCAGAGCTTTTTCACCGATGGACCGAGTTATTAGTGAAAACCAATACTGTCAGTAAATTCTATTGGTCAAACTTTCGTGCATTATAACTTCCCCAAAGGTTTACCCATGGCCTTCACACACAAAAATTTTCTTTGATGGTTCGTTGAAGGTATCTTGTACTGACGAATTATCGAGGGTGCATATCACTGATAGATTACAACTGGTGCATCCTAGTGTTTTTACCAAGTGTTTGAATATGAGACTCATAGTTGCAAAAAAAAAGAGTCAAAAGGATTTGAACGTACGACCTATTATACAATATGCAATAACACTACACTGGGTTGTAGCCTCGTTTTGTTTATTTTGAGGCACACTCATAATATTATAGTGTGCGCATTTTAAGGATCCTAATTTTTTCCAAATATCATGTAATTCATAGTAGCAGTATTTTATTTCTCTTCGAAGTTTAGCTTACAAAAGAAGATGGAAAGAAATTACACGCATCAAACCAATTTCACATTAAAACACTTTATAAGTACACTGGGACGCATTTTCTTACCCTTGTAATCGCATTCATTCTTGCGTTCTTTGAGTTTCGATATAGTTTCTTCAGCCTCCTTTAGCCTTAAATCCATGTCTTCCATCTTCAACTTCATCGATTTCATCTGTCGAGCTTCCGCCATCCTTAAATCTTGTTCTTCAGTTTTTGAATCCATCTCCTCCGACCTCGGGATAACATCAACGACTACTTTCAGATATTTTTTGTTTATATCTGGATTACACTTATGACAATGAAATATTGATGCGATATCTTTAATGTCAGTATCTTCAGGGACAAAGATTCTTTTGAAGTGTAACCTTTCCTTGGCAATCGTCTTTGGAAGAGGCGCTACGTCTTGTTTCTTTCTAATGACTTCTACATCACATGTGGATCCTGGTTTGATAATACCCTCTTTTTTTCGACAACAATAGAGCTCTGCGTGTGTCGAGTAGATCCTGTACGCGATATGATGACCAGAATTGTTCATCAGCTTTACGAAGCACGAGATCTTTGTCTTTGGTTCGAACATGAATCTGAGTTCTTCCGGTTGAATCTCTCCAAAATCTGCATCCATTGTTCTTCCCTTCGAGTAAAATCCACTTTGCCAATAGTTTATAAAGCCAAAGTTTCCACGAGATATTGTCAATGCTTGTGAAATTAACCAACACAAACGTAGTTTGTGTCATATATCAGTCATTTATTAAATATTTAAATATTTTTATTAAATAAAAATAAGATATAAAATATGATGATGATGATATCATCTTTTTAATCAAATAATTTTTTTTATAAATTATATATGTATAAAAAATTGTTATGAGTGCAAAAAGTAAACGATGCATTATGTTGACTAAATGTATGCACAAGTCATTCAGAATTTAAAATTAAATTTATTTTTATGGGTGTTACGGGTCGTTTATCAAATATTTAATCGAATAAGCACTTACCAAATCATATTATTATACCAGATGAATATGGTAAGGACCAAGAATTTTACTGGTAAGAGCGAGACAAAGACCAAGAGTCTTACCCGGTAAGTGAGGACGATGACTCTTACCACGATAAGCACTTACCGGAAAAATTGTTGTATACGATGTTGTTTTAATGGACTAAAATATTACCCGATAAGTAAAATAATAGTATTAAATTTACTGATAAACACTTACCGGATAAGTGTTTGATAAATTTTTTACCCTTTATTAATATAGAATATATCATATATAATTACTGTACTTCAATTTAATTCTATAAATAACTGATCATATGTGAGATTTAAATATGAAAATTATTCAATATTTTGAATTTAATCATATAATAACCATATGAGTTAATTACATAAATTGCCCGGCTGATTTGCATATGTGTAAATATAGTCCCTATAGTTCGTTTACTAAAAAACTTTTTTACTAAGAAGATACCAACGGATCACCCAGAAAATGTTTGAGTATCTGTCACTAATTTGAATTACCCACTAACTTTTATGACGAATCACTCTTTAGCGACCGATTTTCCAGAAAAGTCTGTAGGTAAAAATATTTAGTTTAGTAGTGTTTATAGGATTTTTTTTTGCCATTTTAACAAGTTTTCAGGACACTTTTAAAATAAAAATGTTGTGTTAAGTATTTAATACGACACTATTTGAAAAAATGTTCTATAAACAACAGTGTCCTGTAAAAAAATAGATTTATAGTTATGACACTTCTCGAAATAGTTAATAAAACACTTTTCTAAAAATTATTAAAACGTTAAAATTATATTATAAATCAATTGTAACACTTTTATAAATGACGTTTTTATAATTTAGTCTTATAATAAAATATTCTATTAGACGTTTTATAAACCCATTTCAATATGGCTTACACAATTCTTTTTGGATTTAGGGGCCGTTTATTAAACGCTTACCCGGTAAGTACTTACTGAGCAACTTTCCTCACCGAATGAACATGGCAAGGGGCAAGAATCTTACCCGTTAAAAGCGATGATAAAGATGGAGAGTCTTACCCGGTAAGTGAGGGTGATGACTCTTACCCAGGTAAACACTTATCAGGTAAATTGTTGCATAAATATGTTTTGATGTACTACAATTTTACGCAGTAAAATAAATCATAGTGTTGATTCTTAACGACAAACATTTACCAGGTAAGTATTTAGATAAACAGTCCCTTACCGATAATACCAACAAATTTGACTTTTGGCCTGGTCTTGTTTAAGTACTTTATTTATTCACGTTTTATTTTATTTTATTAAATATGAAAGGAATAATAAGTACGAAATCAAGGAATATTGAAGTACAAAAAATTCTCTTTTGTGTATGAAACCGAATGTTGAAATGGCATAACCCAGATATATATGATTGTGTTTCTTTTCAGAATGAATATTTATCATGAATAACATGTATACAGGATGAAGATGAAACTGTTGTTCATCATTTATCACATATTCATAATGAATATGAGGGTGTTATTTATTAGAATCAAACATATAGGACGAATTCATAATGAATATGAGGGTGTTATTTATTAGAATCAAACATTTATGATGAATATGTTACAACGTTCATGATGAATAATACATTCATATTTCTGATGTGTTACATCATCACATGTCATGTTGTGGACGGTTCTCGAGTACTTAATCAACTTTAGATTTCGAACCAAATCTGATCGTTTAAAACATGGTATTAACGATTGCAGTTGTGTTTTCACCAAAATTAACACAATTTCGTCACGATTTTCTATGGTTGTAGATGTTGGTGTTGACCTGGCCAAAAGTCAAATGTGTAGGCAAAGTCGTGTATTAAATATATTTATTAAATTAATGAATGACGAATTTAAATAAATATAAAGAAAATAATTATTAATTTGATAGTTATTCGATAATTGAATTTTCTATTAATGCAACACATTTACAACTTATGCTAACGGTTTGCAAAAATGTCAAGATTGGTCCCTCTTTCTGAAGGTCGATAAAAAGTCCAGTTTAAGAGGGGCGTTTATGTTCTTTTATTGAACCTTTTGTTTTTTACTCAATTAAAACCGATTTTTTGATTTGGTCTCTATCGCTTTTGATTGGGTCGATGACAAAAAAACGATAAAATAATGAAAGTATGTCTCATTAAATTGAATTTTTTAACGACCCTAAAGAGAGGGATCAAATTCAGCATTTTTGCAAACCATGATGACAATCTTGTAATTTTAAAACTAGAAAGACAAAAATGTTATTTGTAACAAACCACATGGACCAAAATTGTAGTTTACTCAATTTTAACATATCTGAACAAAAAAACTATTTTTATTCGAAAGTTATTAGGATTTTTTGGAGGTCATCGGTTCGAATCCTCTAAAGCTATTAGAGATTTTTCTGGTTGTTTTCCAAGATCTTTGGGATTAGTTGAGGTGCACACAAACTGACATATACTCACAGTTAACAACAAAAATATAGTTATATTTTAATTTCCTTTATTATTTTTATGGTTTTTATTTTATTATTTTAAATATTTGGTAAACATGTTGGCAACAATTAATTAACATTCCTTTGACAAAGTCTCGTTGAAAAAATAGCTTTATAAAGTATTTGTCAAGAGATTTACATTAAACCTGCAACGATGGATGCAGATTTTGGAGAGATTGAGCCAGAAGAACTTAAATTCTTGTTCAAACCAAAGGTACAGATCATGTGCATCGTAAAGCTGATCAATAAATCCAATCGTTATATCGCATATAAGGTCAAAACAACACGCCCAAAGCTCTATTGTGTAAGACCAAACATAGGCATCGTGAAGCCAGATTCAACATGTGAAGTACACGTCACAAGGCAAGCTCAAGCGATACTGCCTGTCTCTAGCGAGATTGAGAAGGAAAAATTCTTGTTTGAAAGAATGTTTGTTCCCGAAAGTATGGCCCTTGAGGAGGTCTCGTCGATATTCCTTTCTAAAGATGGTGATACAGATATCAACAAAAAGAAACTGAAGGTGGTTTTTGATGACACTCCGATGATGGAGGAGATGAAGTCAAAAAATGAAGAACGACATCTGATGTTAAAGAAGGTTGAGGAGACCATATTGTTGAGGTCAAAAATTAAAGAACTAGATTTGAGGCTAGTAGAGGCTGAGGAGACAATATCAAAGCTGAAGGAACAAAAGACTGATGATCGTGATTGTAGCAGTAGGAAAACACGTTCTCGTGTGTTTATTAAGTGTTTCAATGTGAGATTCGCTTGATGCATGTGATTTCATGTCGTATTGTTTTTAGATTGAACTTTTAAGAAAAAATATTACAGAATTATCAATAAACATAACACTGTTTTTTTTTTTTCTGATTTGCTGATGATTCTTGGTAATATATATATTGTAAGTTGTCTTGTAGTTGATGTTTGATGTTGGTGTTTTTCATTTTTATTTTGTTGATCATGTAATGTTCAAAGATCATGACATTTGGATTTGATATGTTTGGGTTCTACTCGATTAAAATTGTAAAAGATATTTTTTTATTAACTTGGATATCCAACCCGTTATGCGAGTCGACTAATCTCAGAGCAACCACCTGCTTTGCAGATAGCCCGGAGTCACCGCATTTGAACCTCCGTGGCTACAAGGGGATTTTTATTCCTCATTGGATTTGAACCTGTGACCTCCTGATACTTTTGACCTTTGTATTTTATATAATACATTCAGATATTTGTTGTACAAGTTATTTGCAAGGGCGGTCTAGGGCATCAACTTACAGATAGGGTCTCATACTAGACTTGACCAGGTGCTCCTGTTACTGGCCGAAAAAATATGAAAGGTCGTAGAACAGAACTTGAATACATGACCTTCAATATAGCCACAAAAAAACTTACCATTAAGTTATTTGTGTTTTTGAATAACATGTGTCCCCATTTTAATTATATCAGTTTCTTCATGATTCATCTTATTTTAAAAACTACTTCTTTTTCGTTTTATTTCATTACAACAGATAAATTTCTGAAATGGAATATCTATACTATATTATAAAACATTTGACAAAAACTCTTAAAAACCATTTTTTATCCACGAAGTACTTTTTATTGATGCATATTACTTAAAATTTAAGATTACAAGTAAATTGTGCATAAATACTACTTATTAAAGCTCCACATTTAAATTCGCGTAACTAACTGCAGATAAACATAATCAAATATTAGATAAATATCTCATTTTAAATATAAAAAATCTAAAATATAATTAGGATAATCATTAAGTTCTAACAGAATACTTTGTTATTATCTTTATAAAAAATTATACTATTAAACCAAAATTAAATTTCTTTGTTACTAAACTTAATTAAATTAAAATTAAAAAATTGAATTAAAGAAATTACACTAAAACACAAGAACTTTTAAAAAGATTAAATTGCTACTGATATCAATATATATTTTTTTTGAAAATTTTATGATATTTTTCAAATTTATATTTTATTCAAAAATAAAAACATTATCGTTTTCTCAAAACCACATAAACCGTATTATATCGACATAAAAAAAAGAATAAAACAAAATATTGAAATCAAGATGTGTCTCGATGTATTGCATGAATAGCCTTCTAGTAAAACTAAATAAAACTAATCACATTCAACAATAAATATTCCGTAAGAAATCTTGTTTTGAAAAATTTTGTGATCAGATTTGAAAAATTATTATTTTTGCTATGTATATAATTTCACAAATATTTCTATGCAAAAAATTAGTGAGTTATCTTTTGTTGTTAAATCTACTGCTAAAGAAATTATATGAATTTTTGCTACAAATTGACTTTTTTAAACCCGATTTAAGAACTGGTTTCACCATTGCTTGAGCACATTGAACGATCAAATTTTGTAACAAATTACCTCTAGAGTAAATTACACTTTTGGTCCTTGTGATTGGCAATCACTATTAAGTTTAGTCCCTACTATTAAGTAATTACAGTTTTAATCATTATGATTGTCGCTTTGTTTCGCTTTTGATCCTCATGACTAATGGTGATAACAAGGTATGTTGGCTCCACGAAATTTTAATATTTTTCTCATTGATTTATTTTTATATTAGAAAATTAAACAAAAATATTATTATATTACGTATATCTACCCCCCTTTTCTTGTCCACCCTTAAACCTCATTGACCACTATGGTTTTGTCGGTTTTGTCGCTTGCTCATCCCCTTCTTCGATTTTTGTAAAACTTCAGCCTGCTCTCTAGATCTAGTTTTTTGTTAGGTCATCGATATATTTGTTGATGACTCTTCGATTATTTCTCTAATACTTATTACTTGATAACTTTTAGTTCTTTTATTTGGGATAAACTTAATCAGTTCAGCAAATCGAAGACTGGCCAATGTCTCAAGAAGTGGATCGACCCGATGCGAATCAAGATATACTGTCTGACTTACGCACCAAGCTTTGTCTCCTACTAGCCGATATTCATTGCTCGAATAGTCATCTTGACTATGATACGTATGCAAGAACTTTTCTGACCAAATCTCACCAACATCGTCTTTGACAAAGACATTTTTGAAGCACCTGAAAAAACATGTTTGTCCTAATATGCTCTTGATGTGCTCTTCAAAAATGTCTAATAATTGTTCTAGTGACAAGTCCCTCTTTTAATTGTATAACGAAAAGGACTCTCCAAAGTTCTAAAGTCAAAGCTGAACATCTTATCCCCAAGTGACATGTGTCCCCATGCATTTAATTACATGGTGGTATGTAAGGTAGAGTTCTCCTCCCATGCAAGGTTACGATTACCAACAGTTCTCTATGTGAAAAAACAAAAATTGGCTACTATCTTAAAAGGCATAAAATCTCTGGTGATAGTTGAGTCCTTCTAAACTAAGGGGCCGTTTACCCAAATACTTACCTGGTAAGCGCTTACTGATATGAGTCAACACTATAATCTATTTTACCAGATAAAATTGTAGTATATTAAAACAGTATCGTATGCAACAATTTACCCGGGTAAGAGTTCTCACCATCACTTACTGGGTAAGACTCTCTATCCTTATCATCGCTCTTACTGGGTAAGATTTTTGGCCCTTTCCATATGCATCAGGTGAAGAAAGTTACCCGATCAACACTTACTGGATAAATGTTTAGTAAACGGCCCTTAAGTGAAAGATTGTTTAATTAGGACAGGTTTATCCTTTCCTTATTCTACTCAATCTTGTTATCTAAGTGTAATTCTTAATATTTATATGAATAAAAAATAAAATAAGTGAAATTTATGTAATTGTATTCACCCCTCCTTCTATTTACTTGTTAGGATTTCACCATCCACTTCGGGACTAACAAATTTTCTAATAGTCAAACAACATTTTCAATGCCCCTTTCCCCTTGTACACATGTCATTTTTTGATGACATTCCTCTTGCACATACCATAACTACCCTAATCCTCATTGACCCAGCTTTAAGAGAACTCCCTCCCCTACCCCTCCAACGACCATCCAACAGCGAAACCATCGTCTTCTGCATTAATGTATGTGTGAATACCTACAACACCTCCTCTTCCCCTCCGCCAACACTCATCGATCATTTCCATTTCTGTATGTGTGCATGTGTGTGAAAGGGGAAGGAGCATTGGAAATGGTATATATGCAAGGAGAAATAGGCGTCAAAATGTTGTTTGGTATTAAAAAAAACCCAATCTAAGGAGGAGACCGGAGTTGTAGAAGGGTTAGAGAAGGGAATGAGCAAGTGGTGGAATTGACGAAATCATAGTGGCTGACAAGGTCTATGGTTGGAAAAGAAAAGGGGTGGGGTGAGTATACGTAGTATAATAATATTTTTGTTTCATTTTCCAATATAAAATTAAATAAATGAAAAAATAGCAAAATCCTTTGGAGTTAACAGACCTTGTTAACACCATTAGCCAAAGAGACGAAAATTGAAACAAAGTGGTAACCATGGTGATCAAAAGAGTAATTAGTTTAAAGTAGGAACTAGAATTGGCAACCACATGACCTGTCTCAGTTGCTCCAAGACCTGCCTCAGTTGCTCCAACACCTGTGTCAATTGCTCCAAGATCGCTCTTTAAACGTCCATTGCTACTCCATAAGCTGCTCCTCTATTTGTTGACGTGTTGTACATTTATGTATTCAACACGTACAATTAGCATCAAGTAAATATAACGTAAGTTTGTAAAAGAATGGATGAATCAATATGCATACCTCATCAACAAATGTCCCCTGGTCAAAGGACCGCCCCATACTCGATCTGCAACCCGAAGAACCTGTTTCCAAGTTGTCCATGGCCCAATGAACATGTTTTTCATCGTCCCAATGATGAATTTACGATACTCACATCCTTTAACCTAAATGAGACTGATGTAGTACAACTAATATTAGTGAACATCCTCCTTATACCCCAAAAGGTGTTATTTGACTACAAACAACTAAAATATCGTATAGGTGGGCAAACTAAAAACTTTAAATCTCAATATTGAAAGAAATCTAAATCATTGAAGCTTATGACATCATATTCAACTAACAACTGAGGTCTGTAAACTGAATAACAATTGTTCACAAATAATCCTGTTCGATACCAGACTACTTATTACATTATAAAAAATAAGTATTACCTAAATAATCCATGAACTATGACATTCGAGATTCGTTGCTAGTTCCTATGTGAATTCCTCTACATACACACAATATGAATAAAGTGAAGCGAGTTCATAATAATACTTAGGGGCTGTTTGTTTTTAATAAAAAAACTCTTAATGTCCTCTTAAGTCTGAATCGGTCAGACATAAGAGGATTCAATGTGTTTGTTTTTTTTTTTCCAATTAAGAGCTTAAAAGCTCTTATTAGGTCTGAAAATTTAAGTGGTTGCGAAACCTCTTATTACCACTTATTTCAAATCGTCGTCTACCTACTCTGATCTCTTTGCGCTCGATTTCTCTAGATCAACTCTTCTGTCTCGATCTCTCATCTCTCAACTTTGTCAACTGTTGATCCATATCAACTCTCGATCTCTCATCTTCAAACTTCAGATTTCAGACGCAAAAAACAAACAGTCTGACTGATTCAGATTTCAGACTTCAGCACAACCTCTTAAAAATCAGAAGTGAATTCAGACTTCAGACTTCAGCATCTCTTAAAAAACAAACGCCACCTTATAAACATAACATTAAGCATAGCGATACTAAAAAACAGCATCTCTACATTTATTACGAACAATCAACTATAAAGTTATAATGATGGTGCAATTTGTGCATAAACTGCACCTA